GCATTGACCTGTTTAGGACGATGATTTCGATGACCACCAGAACACAAGACGAGCTTAGCACACACTAAAGCATGTTCAGAGTCCAGACAAGTACTCCTCATGGAACGGCAGTCCTGTATGCACCCACGCCATCGGTAACTGATTGCAATACGGTCTGTTTAAGTCCAGGCTTCAGTAGTAGAGGGAAGACGCCAAGTAGCACAACGGCAATGGCAGTGCCGGAATTTGGTTCTGGCTAGGAATAAGTTGTGATCTGCACAAAGCTGCAGAATACGATCCTCATTATTTGACCTGCGGCCAACTAGTCCCCATTGGCCACCTAGACGACTCTCCTATGACTCTAGACCCCCAACCTGCGCATTGAGGTCCCTATCTAGCACTACTATATCTGTCTAGTGCACTTGGTTGAGATCACTCAATTGGTGATAGGATTCATCTTTGGTTGCATGCGGACTGCAGTCCGTCGGAGCATAGGCAGAGATGATAAAGAGACATCCTTTCTCTTCTCGATTACTTCTTACTCGAGATGAACCTTCTAGCCTAACAACAAACAGACAACTACTATTGAGGATCCAGTCGAGTAGTGCAGCTTTGATCCGAGCGCTTATCGCAACACCCACAATAGCGAGGCCGGCTACCGATACCACACTGTCCGTGAATAAACCCATATGAAACACTTTGAGCTGACAGATGGGGAACTAATTCGAAGCACTTCATTAGGATCTTGTATGTAGGTTTCTGAGATGCAGCATACATCACTAGCAAGGCTTTCCAGAGTCCTAACCAAACCTGCCTGTTGCCGGGTCTACATCAAGGCGCGAACGTTGAAAGTGGCGAGCTTAAACGGTACGCGTGGTCTCAGGTTAGTTGTATCAGATGTCGCACTGGAGAGCAGCTTTATGGGGGGGGGGGCAACTGTTTAGCGACTCAAAGCAGTACAGATAGACCATAACCAATGTAGAGCAGCCGAGTGAAGTCAAGATAAAGACAAAAACAGAAATGGTAATAATACAAAGAATACAGTTCATTTGTAAATTCAACAAAAAAGAATGGTAGCAATAAATTGAGTAATCGGTTAAAACGTTCGTAGTGTGAGTATTTGCAGAAAAGCTGGTTAGTAGCTCCGAAATCTTCGTTTTATATTGTAAATTCATATATTATGTGAGGGCTAGGATGCTGCGCGGGCGTCCATGTCGAAGCAGGTGGTTGCCTTGGGGATCACTCCCCGAGCCTTTCATTTAAAGTTCAATCCTCAAGGCAGTGGAGCAAAGTCAGGAACTGCATTCCCATGGTTGCCGGTGGCCAAACTAGGTTCGTACGCCATTCGTCCCATTTGGAACCTGAAGCCCATGATCACCATTGGCTTTGAATCAGGATTTCCCAACTCCCCAGTCCCTACCAATCCGATGATAAGGGCTGGACATTAGCTTACACCCCTTCACATCTGTAGAAACACCCCCACCACATGAAGGCAGTGAGTATGACTTCTCTGGCAGAGATTGTGAACTCATACAAGAGCATTTGGGGGCAGGATTTCACATAGGGATCGATTGGACCTCATGGTAATCACGGTCAAGTTTCCTTGCATTTATCGCGTGGAACCTAGTGATGACAATTTAACAAACATTTCTGATGGTATGAAACTACTGTTTTTACTCAGCCTCAAATGCACCACAGCTTTAATAAAGTACAGTCTGATCTATAGACTCCGGTTGTCTATAAGGAAACTCGAAAAGTAGACCATAGGATGTAGTTAGGTGTTTCGTGTTTGAATGCGACTTGAATTTGTTCCAAGGGTTCTGAAAAATTCACTCTTTTGATATGTATAATCACTGTAATCACCAGTGCATAGCATTGACTGTGCCCTAGGACCATCATGTTTTTAATGTAGAAGTTAGGTTTCATTAATGTGAGAGAAAACTTGTGGAATGTGGTAAGGTACAGTTCCATATTAAATTGTTTATTTGATATTAATATAAGAAATGATTTATTCTCGAAATGTCATCCAGCAAATTATACTATCACTGTGTACTATATCAAATAAGCAATCTAATATGGAATTGTAGAAGTTAGCTATTAGCTCTTGGCTGGGGGTTATGAACCGTCATCGACTCATGTGGCTAAGGCGTGTGTTACGCATATTTAGTTGCTTTATGCCACGACGCGCGGTGTTAGCTGAAGCAGGGTTTTGTTGGAAAAAGAGTAAATGTGACTTAAACGTGGCATCAGCCCATAAAGTGTTCGATTGTTGGTCTGAGCGATCTATGGTAGTGTGGAGATTTGTGTGACACCTGATGCTAAACGTTAGACGTTAGTTTAGATGGCTCACATCGGTCCAAATATCTCCAGACCTTATATTCATCCTGTTATATAGTTCTTTTTTGTTGTTCGCCTTGCCTCCTCACCTTCTCGCGTCAGTCAATGTTAACGTATAACCTTCATTATTTCGACACCTCACATCGTCACATCAGAATACAATAACTCTGATCACTCCAGGTCTACTAAAAAGTTCTGTGTGGTAAGATCAATCTCTGTAAAGTTAGACAAGGAAAGGAAGACATCCTCAGGCACATCTATGATAAAAACGAAGGTGAACATCCCTAATATATACCACTCAAGGTAGGTTCCAACGCACCCAGAGCCTTTAGCAGAGTGACATACTTAGGCGACACCTTTTTTATTAAGATAAGCTGTCACTCGGAATCTCGATCTTTTGAACCGAATTTTACCTTCAGAAAATAAATACAGCCGGTAGGTGACTTTGTGTCCCAAGATCTAGTGAACGGTTAAGATTATTCATAGCCATATCCGAACTCGCTTGAGCGTTTTATGATTGCATAACTTAAATTCCTAGACATCATATTTGTCGAACTACTCCTGTGGTTATCACGGGAGGATTTCTCTCCTTTCTTGAAGAATAAGGAAATCAGTCGTGAAAACATATTAGAGCACTTTGCACCTGACTTCTATACTTCAGATAACACTTCAGTTAGTCCAACTAGTCATTCTTGACTACTGTCCCTAAATACCTATGATACAAGCTGACTGGGACCTGCTGCCTTCTTTCGCTGAAGTTATAATCCTCTCAACTCGTGAAACTTAGAGACCTTATCTCTTTGTTCTATTCAAGATGAGAATGAATATCGGCCAACTGAAAAGTAGCTATAGGCCTGTTCGTTGCAGTGTTTTGTCAATTCATCCATTCGTCTCCTATTCAAATGAATTTTAGGTGTATCTTTATCCACTGTAGTATCATTAATCACTGACTCTCACCCATTACGTAGGTAAGTTTGTCCATTTAAACGCAGATGTACGCACACTCGAACCAACCTGAGGATTAACAGCGATGTGGCCTATCTGTGTCCATTGTTGAGTTCAGGTTAGTGACCACCAGATCAAGCAGCGTCTCTATTCATGTCTAAACTCCGTGTTGGTTGGAAATAGCTGATTTTCTGAGCACAAATGTGCCAGGCAATCACCATTACCTGTCTGTTTGATTGATTAGGATTCCGAAATTGCCACGTAAATGCTTTTCTACTTAACTGAGTCTACCCACTTGTGAACTGAAACTACCTACTGCAACAACCACTACTAAACACTTGACTTTCAGTAGGAGGCTAAACAATTTTCAGTAGAATCTATCTTTCTCTCCATATAGATTGCAGTTACCGCCTTCTTAGGCAAAGGCAACAGCGAATTTCACTATTTTTTTATATTTCTTGCCTGAACTATTCAGCCGAGTAGCGCCGACGATCATCAAGTGATATGTCGACCAGTACATTTTTTGCCGCTTGATTTGTTAATATACCCTCACTTGTGAAACTACGAGAACTAGCCGTCAAATTTGCAGGCATTTGAAGAGTGAATTTCATAGATGCACCAGATTGGCTGAGGGAGGTTAAGTGGATAACCACTCTTGGGTCTTGTATGTGTATCTCACAAACAGCATACGTCCATGGCTCAAGATCCTGGGGTTTTGCTTCGCTAAGCTTTTTGTTTCTTCCGAACAAGCATGTGAACATTGAAAGCTCTCTTACTTAGTTTGAAGCATGGTTTCAGGAGACCCTGGATGATATTTCATGAACTTTATTCGTTTTCAAGATTTGCAGGAGTGGAAGAAATTCAAGACGACGTAGAAATATTGGCAAGAAATGTGAAGAAAGGTTAGAAGGTAAACATGTTGGAGGTAGACAATAACCAGAAGATACTTGAGTGCTGATAGAGATGTTAGGTTGCCCTTATTGTAGAAGGTTGTTTCTCCTTGAATTATCTGATAAAGAGATTTGATAAGTGACAGCTATGCTTTACCAAAGGGCTGAAGGGAAAAATTTTATTGGTGCTACCAAAGCACACTTAGTGTCATTGTATCCTCCAACTTTAAGAGCTTGAACCCTACCTCATTCAGTAGCGTCTGGACAGCTATGTGGTATCATTAACCTACACACTAGATGGGGCTTACTACCTAATACATATTATTCGCATTCTTTATTATTGTACTTTGTTCCTTTCGTAGTGACATATGCTACGTCATAAACAGTTTTCACCCAACCATTTCATCTCTATCTCTTTTGTTTGTTTGTTTTAATCGTTTCGACAGTCTTTGATTGATCTTCTCTCTCTTTTCGTCGTAGTGGTTACATTGATGGCTTTCATCAGTTTGCTCATGGTATCTGTTCGTATGATTGGTGTCACTGACAAGCAATGCAACTTCGATCCAACAAAGACTTGTTTTTCTACAGAATAAGTGATGTGATAAAAATGTTTTCTTCTACTCAGTTAGGATTCAAGGATGACAAGAAAATACTTAAAATTTTATGTAACCTTTAAGCATGAATTGTCTTATTCTTCTCTCTGTGCTCTGAAGTCTTATTCTGAATAACAGTCATGCAAACCAGTGAAGTGTAATTTATATTTTGCATGAAAATGTAGTCAATTATCAAATTTATTGTGCGTTAACTTCAGCTTATCATTTAATCACTGGTGTATTACTCTTGATTTAGGTGCTCCTGTTCTTCCTCTTTTCACGAAACCGAAGCGTGTTTTGGAAGGGGATATTATGCGATTAGTGTGTTCTGTACGTGGTTATCCTAAAGCAGCTTCAGTGATGTGGAGTTTTTCTGCTATACCGACTAGTCAAATGGATGATGATAACGCTTTGACATCAGCTTTATATAATTTGGATAATATGATAACTAATGGAAGCAACTATGTCCTGGAGACAAGTGAAGGAGGCACAGTAAATGATACTCTTCGATTTTTGGAATTAAAAAATAGTGATAATGGTCTATATGCCTGTAATGTTTCAACTGAACTTGGTTCAGATTTTGCCCTAATGATTGTCAACGTTAAAGGTGATATTTATATTCGATTTTCATGTCATTGTTATTTTGAACGCATACAATCAAGGCAATTTTCATTATGGATTGCCATCAGCTAGTGGGGACCAGAAAGCACTAAACAACTGTTTCTTTTTTCAAGTTGGTGTTCGTCATACACTGACATCAGTTAGAGGAATATTGAAAACCTGGAACACTAGACAGCTGTTTCGTTCTAGTGTGGGACTTCTCAGCAGTGCGCACCCATGATCCCGTTCTCCAGGGCTTGAACCCAGGACCTTTAGATTTTATGCCCAGCACATTACCATTAACCCGTTGGGTCAGAATGCAGTGGCTTATATTTCCAACTCTTTCGTTTCACGATACAGTTGTCCAGAACTCCAAGGCTTTCAATGTCCCTTCAACTGATGTCAGTCCATGATAAATACCAACTTGAAAAAATCACTAAATCGCCACAAACCCCCAAGTTAAATGTTTTGTTTTTGCTTATGAAATTCCTCAGTGGAGCTGTGACCCAGTCGTTTGGGGGAAATGAATGTTAACCAGTGGTCACAGGTTCGAACCCCGCCCTACCCACCGAGGTTTGGACAACCACGCAGTATCATTAGCCCTCACACAATAGGTGTGCCTCATTTCCTGATGCATAGATTCGCACAAGGTGGCCGAATACGAGTGAAAGAGAGTTAGTCAATTGTTTTGATTTATGATCTTATACTAGTGTACGGAGTTAATGGAAAGAACTAACAGGTCAGACTAATATCATAAAATTGAACGTAAATTTTCATCAATTTCCTCTACCAATTCCTATTTTCTGATGGCGGAGTCTCTGAATCGCAAGGAATTAGTTTCTTGTGGTTTCCATGTTAGCACTAATTGTATCATTTTGAACAGTATTTAGGAATTGTCGTTGTGCGAACATGACAAACGCAAGGCTAATCACTAAATAATTCGTACCTATAATCTACCCACGAATGCGAAATCAAGGAAAAACATAATAACGTAGTCTGATGGGAAATAGTATATTTGAGAGGTCGTGCCAAAATAGCGATGCGTCTCGACTAGCTGACTGGAGGATCGATTACGACCAGTGGAACGTAACATGACAACGTGCCAAGTGGCATGGATGTTTGACTGTATGCCTTCAACTTAGCGAGTCCGATAAAACTATGAAGGTCAGCATCAATGTTGGATCTCGTCGAACCCTAAGCTATTGGTTTTGGGGAATTATGTGCCGCTACAAGCACTTTCAACCATACTGAACCGAAATTCCTGTTTTTTGTTGTCTGCAAATTCTTGATATCAGTTTCATTGCTTGTATTGCTTTCTCTAGTAGGTGACTGTATTGTCGAGGATGTTTGATGTCTTGAAATGTTACTCAGCGATCATTGGCATAACGTCAGCACTACGACTTGCACTCCTCATAGGATACCAACTATAGTGTGGAGAATGTACACTATGATGGCAACAATTTTTAGCCTTACCAATGTTCAGCAGACCTTTATGGTATCTTAGGGCCTCTAGGAACAGTCGTCTCAGCCAAAATAAGTCATTGGATCACTACTATCGACAAGTTTAACCACTGACGTCAAAGCCTCAGTTATCAGTCAGGCGAATTGCGCTCTTCGGTTGCCCACACATTTTATTGAACTCATAACAATTAATTCATAAACCATAAGAAATTGATACTGGGTATTGAAAGCAGTAAACAAGATTGTAGAGATGAGAAATCAATAGTTTCAGATACACATACAATGAAATAGTCATCCTCATGATGTCACATTGTAAACATTTGAATCTATAAGGATATACATTATAATTCCATTAGTTTATCTGTAGTATGAAACATAGTTTGTGAAAGTTATTCTCATTATTAGTCGTAGCAGTATTGGTATTAAAAATAATTATGGTTAGGATAGTATTTGTCACAGACTGATATCAGTTAGAGAACCATTGAAAACCTAAGAGGATGAGATAGCTGTTTCGTCCTAGTACGGGGCTCCTCAGTAGTACCCACCCACGATCCCATAAGGGACCAACCTTACAACCCTTAGGTTTCACGGCGAATGCGTTAACCACTCAACCATTGGGTTGGAGTTTAATGGTCCACAGCTCCCTACTTCTGTCAGTTCGCGATATAGCGCATCAACCCATCAAAGTTTTCAGTTGGCATCGGCTTCACTTCTGACTGCTTGACCCCACAATTCACGGCTTTTTACTGGAACTTCAGGATGTCCATCTCGAAGCATGTCACTAGTAAGCACTATACATTAGTGTAGTTTGAATTTAATGGGGGTTTTATTTCTTAGGAAGTATTCATCAGGGACACGGACATCAGTTGGTTGCTGGTCGTGAGTGCATACTACTCAGGAGTCGCATACTAGGAAGAAACAGTTGTCCAGTGCTCTCAGGTTTTCAACGATACCCCAACTGATGTCAGTTTTTGATGAATACTATCTTAAAAATAAATTCTTCATTAACCTCAAAGTAAATTATCATAGTATAATTTTATATTTATGTAATAATTTGTAAATTTATTTCATTCAAGATCGTTGGGCGGCTCTTTGGCCATTCATTGGTATTGTTATTGAAGTAACTATCTTAGTTGTTGCTATACTCTTGTATGAACGTCATCAAATGCATTCAAAGCCGACAAATATTTCTGCAAAATGTGATACATCTGTTAGCGCTGTTGGTCAAGAAAATCCATCAACCACTCCGAATAATAATAAAGCTCCAGCTACTAATAATACAGGCCAAAATAATCTTACAGTTCCAGTCAATGTTGGGGATATGGGTGGTGAAGTTGATGAAGGAAATATCGAAGGAAGGTGAGATTTTCTTCCTATTAAAGATCAAGGAATATATATATATATATATATATATATATATATATATATATATATATATAATGTTATCAGGTGTAAAATTAGACTGATAAACGGTTGATCGGCAATCAAAAGTGTCATTTTAAACAGCCAACTACCTATATATTAGATATAATTTCCTTGTTTTAGTCTTCGGTATTTCGACACGAATACACGTCTATCGTGTCTTCTCCATTAATTAGTCGGGTCGGGAATCAACTAAGAATTTTTTGAGTATTGGTGTCTGACACTTGACATCAGTGCATCGTTAGCGACCACAGCATATAGCAGTTTTCGAATCATAACAGTGGCAACGGGAATGGGATATTGGGAAACGGATCCCTCGAAGTTGCACAACTTCCTCCACACAACATATGAGAATAATCGAGATACTTACGCAATCCAAAATTTCTGCTACTGAATCACCACCTAATACACCAGTTCTAATAGCTCCTTCAGTTGATGGCATCGTCAATACCATCAGTGAATTCCACTACCATCCTGATAACAATGACATCGATGCCGTGACTGTAATGCTGGGAACCATAAGGATGGTTTTTGCCACCAACACACATAACGATGTGCATAAAGATCATCTTCGAGATGGCGCCGTGGATCTCATTCTCGATCGGCAGGTATAGGTATATGTCCTGTGTTGACAGCTGATTTTCATGCTCATTCACCTGCACCTGCACCCGCACCTGCCCGCCAATAGAATATCGAGAAGACTACTGATAACCCAGTAAGCAAGGAGAAACTCTCTGCATCGGTCAGATAGATGCAAGAAAAAGACAAAGCGGCTCAATGTGACCCCAATTATCATTCTTTCGAAGACGGACGTAATATGGGGATAGAGAGAAAAGACTAGTGTGGAGAGGGACCAATCAAAATGTACTTTATGTTATCACTTCGACAGATGGTGGATCAGCCAATCATTAGGATTATTATTTTAAACAACCAACTATCTACACACACGTTTCTACACGTCCATCCTGTCTTCTCCACTAATAAGTCGGGTGGGGGATCAACTAGGAATTTGTTGAGTGTTGGTGTCTGATAGTTGATATCCGTGCATCGTTAGAGGCTATAGCATATAGCAGATGTCGAATCATAGCATAAAGGCGTTGAATATCTAAACCGATGACTACTTCTGGAGCAGAGTGTATGTGGTTATGTTGTTGTTGTTGATGTTCAGGTGTCTCCAAATACTAATTTTTCGTAGTTGGGAGTGGTTTAAACTTTGTTTATAATCTCTTCAGACAACAAAGAAAAGTAGAAAATCCCAAGCAGTCAGCGTACTACTTAGGTTGTCTCCAACTTTTTCATAGCGACTTATCTATCTTTTCTTATCGTACTAGAAAGTTATATGAACTATCAGTAGTATTCAGAAAGACCTCAAGAAGAATTTAGAATCCTCAGTCATCTGTTTGTGGTATTTCTTAGGTAACAGTTACTGCATATGAAGTTATCGAAATACATTCAGCAACCAAATGCACGCTTGTGCGGTGGAAACTGAGCCACACCTAACCGTGTCTGCGTAAACCTCGGTATGTGAAGCGGAGTTCAAAACCGTGATGCACTGATTAGAAGTCAACTATCTAAACCAGTGAGTTACAGCTCCACATGAATCTATCCCTATAGTAAATCATACAGTCGTATGTTCGTACACTGGTTCAAGTTTTGAAGTGGAAGTTAAAAAGAAATACTCATACTTTCAATAATATTTTTGTTCCTGGATTATGTATGTTTAGTATCTCGAATAACTAAGTATAAGTAGACTACATTTCGGCATACAATCCAAATCACAAAATAGAAAGTTTAGAGAGTAATGCTGTGTCAACCTGATGTCAATGTCTGTATTTTTATTCTTGTTTTGGTGAAGGCACTTAAAGGATACAAGGATTCTTGATGATATGGCTAGAAATCGGTCACAATGGCGCAGATGTATTAACTCCTTGCCATTTTCTAAAGCTTGAATATTCACATTAACCTTTATCTTCAGATTGTTTATTCTCTTACACTACTTTATCTCTTTGATATCACTCTTCTTCTATCCACCTATTCTTGGTATACTGCTGTGAAGTGTGAGAACTTGAGCCGATAGACCTGTGTGCAAGGTTCTACGTTGGTTTTGCCAGTCAGTCAGTCAGTCACAGGGTTTTCTGAACATTTTGACTGGTAATTAGAGAATGTTTGTTGTAAGTTTGTCACCGAACAGATGGGTAGTATCTACAAAAGTCGTGACATTACTGCGTAATGACCCAAGTTGTTACATCTCATATTCACACATCAAGCGAGAATGGACCACGATGGAAGATAAAGAAACAAAGAAAGCAGTTAAAAGTCGTAGAATGTCATCAGAAGAGAGTAGGAAGGAATGAAAGAATACTGACAATTAAAAGAGGATAATGTATGAATACATTTGCGCCACTTAGATCGGTTCTTAGCCATATCGCCCAGAATCTTCCAAGTGTCAAGATTTTATAACTAGTTGCTCTGTGTATATACTGATTCACAACCTGCTCTCTGGTTTACAGAAGACTACGTACAGACTTTAGCTAGTTTAAAATTGGAAAACATGTAGAGATACTCAATGCGTTGATTATAAGTAGAGTTGTTGGTATCACATATAATAGTCCCAGTGAGACTAACCAATAAATTATGATAAGTCAGGATGAAAGTAATGAATGCTTATAATGAGTTAAAAACTGTTTAGCGATGTATTTAGTTGAGAAAAAGTATATATTCTATTCCGTAGACGACTTAAATACAGAACAACTGTAGCATATTGAACTAGGTGCGCAGTTTATTTACTAGTTCGAATGTTACTCCATCTATGGAGGTTCGATTGTCAAGGTAATCACTTGTATGAACTTACACGAGGTTATTAAACTGTATTTTTCTCTTTATTTAATATATAGAATAATTTATATAAAAATATGCAATCGAATTTCCTAATTGGTTAGAATGTAGTAGTGTTATTTTCACCTTGAGATTGTTTAGTAAATAGTTAACTACAGTCTCCTTTGTTTATTGATAAAACATATGGTATACCTTTAAGGTTGTATCATTTGATTACATTGAACTAAACCTGTTGAGGGTTATTTGTAAAGTTGTAAACTTTTTAAGGAATATACTACTGTAAACAACATTTTCGTCAAGCTTTTGAATGATGCGTATATCGATCAACTAAATTTCAGAAGTTTTTATACTAATGAACTTTATCGGTCATTTGTATACAATAGACTAGTTATTTCTATATAATGAATAGAATTGAAACATTCAACTATTTATTGAATAAGTTTACGTTTGTACTTTTAAGAAAATTGTGTACTATAGATAGTTGAAGTTGGTTTTTTAAGACTATGTAGTGTTACAGAAAGTTTAGGATTTTTATAGATAAGTTAAATTAACATTAGGTATTGTAAATAAGTTTGTTAGCGTTTTGTGTTTTGCCTTGCATATCACCTACTTGGACGTCGTTCATATCCCTGCCAGGTTGCTACATTATTATTTATTGTGTTGCATTTTTCTTTTCATGATTACTTATATATATCTTCTAACTTTTTTATTATCTTGAGTATTGAATTCACTAAGATTTTCTGGTTTAAAACATTAAACAATGTGGTTCGAGTACCCGAGACAATAGGAATCAGTAGTTGAGATGGTTGAAAGCCTGAATAGTTCGACTAACCTTAAATTTCTGGATTTATTCTCCTTCCGTACACCTTTGTTTATCATTATCAGAACACATATGTGGTACATCAAGCACACCAAAGAACCTCGCCTGGTTAACTAGTTCACTAGTTACTAGCCGGTCCTAAGCCCGGATAAAGAGGGAGGTTGAGCATAGGGCTAGCAACCCTACCCTGTAAAATCAATCCAGTGGCTAAAGAAACCGCAAAGCACAGGCAAAATATAGAAAATAAAAACAAACTTATTCCTCGCTTGAATCGGGGAGACGAAATGATGCCAGTTGGTGAAAGTCTTCGAGAAGCCAATTGGCCGATGTATCTTCTCTCTCTCGATAAAAGCGAAAGTAAGAATGGGGACGTGGAATGTCCGAACAATGTATGAAGCTGCCCAGATTGCCATAGAGATGAGAAGGTATAGCATAGAAGTGCTAGCAATCTGCAGATGGAATAGAAGTGGACTCACTCAACTGTCAACTGGAGAGTCAATAATCCACTCCAATATTGTCATCCAGACGACAACCACGGGCACACTGGGTTTTCGAGTGGCTATCACGATGTCCCCAAGAACGTCCAAGGCTGTCAAACAATGGAAACCAGTCTCCCCCTGCAGGATCATGACAGAAAGGTTCAACTCAAAAGGAAGGAAAGTTACAATCATACAATGCTACGCTACGCACCTACAAATAATGAAGATCAAGAGAAGAAGGAGGAATTCTATAGACAGCTACAATCAATACTGCACAATACCCCACTCCAGATGGAGACATCAAAATTCATTCTAATAGGATGGGGTGCCATGAATGCCCAACTGGGAGCGGACAACACAGGAAGAGAACTAACCATGGGTTGAGAAGCTCTCGGTGAAATGAACGAGAATGGAGAATTATTTGCAGAATTCTGTGCATTCAACGATTTGGTGATTGGAGTAAGGCGGTGTGTTCAAGCACAAGGATATCCACAAAGCGACATGGATTTGTATTCACAAGACACCAGGACACACTAAAAATCATATCGACTTCATCTCAATGTGAAGAAAGTGGAGATGGAGACGCAACTTACTGGGGAGGGGAGTAGATGCAGGTTCACACCTCTCACTATCCAGTGCAAAGAAACTTCAAAATCAAGGTGAGACCCTTCACAGAAGCTGGTGATAGACCACAGTTCAAGTTCAGCACTCAGAACAGAAACTGAAGTACGAAACTTCAAAGGACATCATCACGTCAGCCGGTCATCGGTAAAAATGGGAGAAATTAAACAACATCCCTGAAG